TATTTTGTTATTGTAGCAATAAAGTACTACCGTTTACCAATAAATTTGTTTTTCATTCGTATATTATCCACTAAAAAATTATCATGAATCATGTCGGCTTCAGAAGTAGCTGTTACAATAACGCCGCTATATATATGTAGCGATAACAGTAGCGCCGCAGTATATTTTTTACTGTAGCGGTAGCGGCGCTCCATTAAAGAGGTAGCGCATACAGCTACGAATTTTGATCAGCATAAAAGTTGGAAACGATCTTTCTGTAATCGCCACAGTGATTGTTTTAGTGCCGTTACAACATCTAGAACACTAGGTAAGTAACTGTTTCAGCACCGTTAAAGCATCGAAATACTAGGAAAGTAACTGTTTCAGCACCGTTAAAACATCCAGAACACTAGGTAAGTAACTGTTTCAGCACCGTTAAAGCATTCAGAACACTAGGTAAGTAACTGTTTCAGCACCATTAAACATTCAGAACACTAAGTAAGTAACTGTTTAGGTACCGTTAAAGCATCCAGAACACTAAGATACTGTTTCAGCAACGTTAAAGCATCCAGAACACTAAGATACTGTTTCAACAACGTTAAAGCATCGAAATACTAGGTAAGTAACTGTTTCAGCACCGTTAGAACATCCAGAACACTAGGTAAGTAACTGTTTCAGCACCATTAAAACATTCAGAACACTAAGTAAGTAACTGTTTCAGTACCGTTAAAACATCCAGAACACGAAGATGCACAGTCTTCAGTGTTTGTATAGTTCACAATCTGTAGTATTTTTATAGTTACACAATTTTTAGTATTTTTATAGTTACACAATCTTTAGTATTTGCATAGTTACAAAATCTTTAGTATTTGCATAGTTACACAATCTTTAGTATTTGCATAGTTACAAAATCTTTAGTGTTTGCATAGTTACACAATCTTTAGTATTTGCATAGTTACACAATCTTTAGTGTTTGCATAGTTACACAATCTTTAGTATTTGCATAGTTACACAATCTTTAGTGTTTGCAAAGTTACACAATCTTTAGTAACTTTTGT